TCAAACTTTAGGCCATTAGGAGAAGTGTCCCTCTGTATGAACTGGTGTGGTTGTAACATGGATAAATGCAGTACCCCATTGTGGGCAAACGTCCTAGCCATGATAGAGGTGACCAAAGGAGCTGTCAGTGAGTCACACTGAGGTCTTATCAGGGGAAAGGATTACAGCCACCTCAGTTCCCTTGCCAGGTCAACAGGAAAGTTATCCACCTCTCAGACACTCTGTTGTCCTGGTATATTAGCTGTTGAGATCAGACGGCACCTCTTTGCATCTGTAGAAGTGCTGATGTTCTAACAGAGAAGAATTATTGAGTGTTCCAAGTAGAGAAAAATTGTTGACTCTGTCTCTCATGCAAGCCTGAACATGGAGGGTATTCCTCCTGCGGGGATGCAGTCACATTGACATGCTCCGGAAAAACTATAATTGTACCCATGCCAACTTCCAATGTTAGTAGCCCCAACTGTGCCTGCAGTTGTGGACAAGAGGGGAAAGAGAGCCCCTTCTCCATGACACTTCATATACATAAGGACCATCTGACTGTTGGGTTAGAGCTGAAGACTTCTTCTACCGAGTCTCACACTGTAAATGTGCCTCTGCTGAAAGAAACCCCATCAGTGGAAAGATCTGATGCTAAGACCTGCTCTCCAGATTCTTTTGTCCCACAGTGTGTTTCCTTGATGTGGTACCCTCCCCATCCCCCTAGGTGAGGGGATACGTAGGAGCTAAACTACTGTGAGTGTTGCTTTTCTGGGCCCAGCCACCCAACAAAGTTGTCACACTCTAGGCTGATGCTAAGTAATGTCTGCAAGGATAGTGATATGACCAGTCCTCGAGTCTCCCAGCAGTAGGCAGCAACACCAGCTCTAATGGGGGTGGCAGGGGAGTGATAGACCCTGTGAGGTTCCTTAGTTATTGATAAACTTAGTGTGTTGGCTTTCTTGAACACTGGTTATAGTAATAATTAACTGGTCATGTGGACAGACTCAGGACCTCCTTGTTAGACAAAGTGGTGCAGGCACTGGTGATGGCTGAGATCACACAGCCATCTTCTTCCTGGGCATAGGGTTGTTCAGCCAGTAGATGCTATAATGAACTGTGTTGGTTGGCCTCCAGCCAGGAGGTGGCACTTGCAAAAGAGCATAGGCTGTGGAGTAGCTGTTGGATTTTTGCTTCCCTTATGTTGCCCAGTGGGGATACTCTAGTTTCTTGAGCAACGGGTAGGACCACATAGCTCCAAGATATTACGTTGTTTATGTTCAGCAACTAGCGTGAGTGATATGGCAAAACCAGGTCAGGGCTTTGTTAAGTGGGTTTGCACTCTAAGTCTGTGCATACAGGGCAAGCCCCTGTGGTCTTGAGGGATGGGAGCAGATCTCAGTCTACTGAGTTGATGTTCCAGAGGAGAGCATTGCTGCCTCTGATGCACAGAATTTGTGCAGGGAGTACGGAACAGCAGGCAGCAATAATCCACACACAGATCCCACACACTTGGGAAGACAGATCCACTCCTGCGGTGTTTTCACTGGTAGCAACAAGCTAAATTCCAGTCAGCCAGCACTCAGAATTTGCAACTACTCTGGGTCATAAGCTTTCCCCATAGAGGTAACAACTGTGTCTTTCAGGCCATTCCCTTCTCAGTTGGCTGCAAAGCTGGGCTCCTGACTTCTGCACCTTGTGGTTCCTGCCCTCACATCTATAGCCCACTTTTCACTCCCCCCAGCTCCAGCCCTGGCCAAGGGAGTTCATCCTCACCTTCTGTCATATCATGAAACCCCACTGGGAGCTTCTTTCAACCTGTGAACAATGACTAAACTTTCTGGCTGTCTTCCACAGGGCCTCCTCTGACAAACAGTAAGAACTGACTTCCCTCAGTCCACATCCACGCTGGAATCTGGGAGTGCATTCAACAGTCTTCCCATCACTGCTTCGACTTTTACATTCCACAACTCTCCCCAAGTCAGTTCCGGAACCGGGTAGGGTTAAGGCCTTCCCCCGTGGCCTGGACTTCCAGGGTCCCAGTTGAGGATGTATATGTCAGAGGCAATCTATTCCTGTCTCATAGTCCTGACTCACAGCATAGGCTGCAGCCTCCTGCTTCCTTCCAAGGGTCTATAGATTCCTTCCATTTTTCTGTTTAGCTCTTGTATTGCTTCTCAGAAAAAAAAGGTCACGGTGTGAATCTCTATACACTATTTTATTCTTCAAAGTAGAAGAGGTATGCTAGCAATGCCTCTAGTCTTCCATCTTGAGAACAAACCAAAACAAAAAACATAAGTTTCTAATAAATGGTGATGTGAATATGGCTTCTATTGATGCCTTTACTGGTCCTATATCCCTTCTGCTCTTTAGTTCTACGTGTTTGTCTCTCCTGCCAGTGTCACTTTTCTCATTCTTTCTGGCTTACAGACAGAATAGTCTGATTTTTAAAAAAATGTTTATAAAATGGAGTGCATGTTTCCTTTTATGTGGTCATCAAATCTATCAGACATAGGCACAATCTTTCTAACAAAGCTCAACTATCTCCAAACGTTCAGGGTTATTGTTGGAGTGATTTTTAAGGCTAGGGGTTTCCTTGGGTTCTAAAAGTTCTGTAAGACAGATTTCAGATAGTTGAGATTTAAATGTGCAATGCATCTACATCACATTTTGTGATATTTAAGGTTTCCAGTGATTTGTTTTCAACTTATATTCCTGGCTTTCCTCTAAATGTCCCTCTATGATCAGCCAACTTAGATGATCTGTTGTCTCTTAAATGGACCTGGAGAGTATTCCTTCTTATGTCTCTCCTCACTGTGTTCTCTGCTTGCAGTGACTTGCAGCCTGTTCTGCTAGTGGAATTCTGACTGGTGTTTAAAAACCCAGTCTTATCTGACATCGTCTGTCAGCCTTCCCTGACCTTAGCCAGAATTATTTCCCCCTTTTGATTTGCTATGATAATGTCAGGATTACAATGAGACACAAAATAAGAGACAGTAAGAAATTTTGATTTCTATCTTTAGTTCTATTTATTATATGACCTTAAATAAAACACTTAGTGTCTTATAGTTAATATTTACCCAGCTTAATATCCAGTTCTATTTTGAGCTTCAAGGACTTACTAAGCTTTAAATTTTTAAATGAAAACAAAAATCTTTGAAAATTTTTAAAGTTTTACAAATTAAAGGAATTGAACATTTGTTTAAAGTTATTGCTTGTGAGTTTATACTTTCATTACATGAAAAATAGGACAATTGTAGAACCCACCTCTTATTGATAAATGAGATAATATATGTGAAGTGGTTAGCACAGAATCTAGCATGTAGAAGAAGCCCAGTCAATGGTTAACTCAATGCTTTTCTCTGACTACTTTTAAGATTCACATTGTCCTAAGATTTACTGATACTCACTTTTTTCAGTTTTCTTCATGTCTATGTTTGATGTTAAATAGTTTCTACCACTAAATTTTCAAATTTACTGATTTTTTTTCTGCCTAACTTACTGTAATCTCATCCAGTGTATTTGCAAGTTTATTTTACTTGTTATTTCTAGAAATACAATTTGTTGGCCGCGTGTGGTGGCTCAAGCCTGTAATCCCAGCACTTCGGGAGGCCGAGGTGGGTGGATCACGAGGTCAAGAGATCAAGACCATCCTGGTCAACATGGTGAAACCCCGTCTCTACTAAAAATACAAAAAACTAGCTGGACATGGTGGTGCTTGCCTGTAATCCCAGCTACTCGGGAGGCTGAGGCAGGAGAATTGCCTGAACCCAGGAGGCGGAGGTTGCGGTGAGCCGAGATCGTGCCATTGCACTCTAGCCTGGGTAACAAGAGCGAAACTCCGTCTCAAAAAAAAGAAAAGAAAAGAAAAGAAATACAATTTGTTTCTTCGTTAATATCACTCGTTTATCTTCTCATTTTATTCTGTTTTCCTTAACCTTCTAGAACTTATGGAATATATTTACAATATCTGTTTTAACATCCATATCACTAATTTCATCATCTCTTTAACTTGTGGGTCTGTTTCTATTGACTGTTTTTTTCCCTAAGTGTGGATCACATATAGCAGCTTCTTCCCAGGCCTGGTAAATTTTTTATGTTTATTTTTACTTATTTATTTTTTTGAGACAGGGCCTCCCCCTGTCACCCAGACTGGATTGCAGTAGCATGATCACAGCTCACTGCAGCCTCGACTTCCTGGGCTCCAGTGACCCTCCCACCTTAGTCTCCTAAGTTGCTGGGACCACAGGAGCACACCACCATAACCAGCTAATTTATTTTTTATTTTTATTTTATTTTTGGTAGAGATAGGATTTTTCCTTGTTTCCCATGCTGGTCTCAAACTCCTGTGCTCAGCAGTCCACTGGCTTTGGCCTCCCAAAATGCTGGGATTATAGGCATGAGCCACTGTACCCAGCCATACCTGGTAATTTTTATTTGGTTTCCAGATTTCATAAATGTAATGCTGTTGGATACTTGATGTTAGATTATTTTAAACATTGCTCAGTTTTCTTCTGGACCATAGTTTGTTACTTGAAATCAATTTGGGTTCTTTTCATGTTTAATGTTAAGTTTTATTGGGGGACATGTAGAAAGACTTTTGTTCTATGGCTTATTGTGTCCTAATACCCAGACAATAGCCTTCTGAAGATTTTGCGTGAATTTCTGGTATTGGGAGGTGTTTACACACTGGCTAGTGGGAAAGCAAACTCTCCCTAGTCTTATGAAAGCCTTGGGGACTTTTTGGCCTCCTGTTTTCTAGTGGTTCTTCATCCATTCTGGATCAGCGTCCACTCACACAGTTAGTAGTCAGCTTGAGTTCCAGTGGCCCCTTCTGAAGATCTTTGAAGTGCTCTCTCTGTAACTTCTTCCTCCCTTAATTCAGCTCCACAAACTGATTTCCCCAAACTCTGATTCTGTCTCATTCACTCAAGGGACCCTCAAGTCTTATTTATGTCCCCATTTCCTGTACTGCTAACTGAAAGCTACCTCTAGGCAGGAAGTTGGAGTAATCATAGGCTTACCTTGGTTGTCTCCCTTCTCTTAGTGAGCGTGGTCCTGAGGTGCCTCCTGTCCCGTATCTGAGAACTGTTGTTTCCTGTAAGTTAAAGAGTAAACATTGTTTTCAAATCCCATCGTAGACTACATTAGAAATTCTTATCACAATGCTTTGCACAAAATACTGTTGTTTATTTAAATAATTGGTGGTGAAAACATGACCAATTGAATATCTTAATTGTTGATTTAGCATTATTTCGCTTTTATGAACCTAAATGGTTTGGCTTGAATTTCCTGTAAGAAATACAGACACAAGATCCCCTGAAAGGAAAACTGGAGTGGAAACATGGAGAGGCTAGAGAGAACATGTTTGGAAGTGAGTGAAAAAGGAACAACACTCAGTTAAATATTAAAGTTTACCAGTTCGTGAAATGCCCTCATTGTTCTCATTAGTGTTTTAAAGAAAAAAAAAAAACAGAAATTAAAAGAAAGAAGTAAGAAAATGAAAAAAGCTTGATCTACTGAAAATAAGAAAGAATACTTGGAATACATTTAATTTTGCTGCTGACTGTCATAAAAAATTAAAAGTTTGGGCACATGGCTTTTGAGGTTTGAGGCTTTAAAACCCTCAGATAAAACACTTATGAGTCTGCCGAATTAATGGTAAATAAAGCAAATCCAGGTAAGTAATGGACCATGGATTTTTCTATTCTATTTTATAATTTATAAGCCTACTTCTTTCTGTTTAAACGCTCTAGATTACAGCCTAATAACTTGTCAAATCCCAATCACAATTCTGTTTCTCTTTCAAAATCTTAAACATCACAGACATAGAAATAAAGCAGAGTGAATAAAGAACATTTTAGAAATGGCACCAGAATACCACAAACTGCTATATTGATTATACACAGCAACATATATTACCATATTTAAATATAGTTCAATTTCAAACTAGAGCTAAAGACAAATGTTCACACATTCATAAGGGCTGTCATAAAATAAAAAAAAAATATGTCTAAAAATTGTGATGTATTATAAATGTAAATACCTACAATAACATAAGTGTATAAAACATAGTATATAACTATTTTATTATATTTATAAAATATGGGACAATATGTAGATACCAACCAAAAAATCAGTTTTAATCCTTCTTCCATGAGTACACGGAAGTTATATATTGCTTCACCTGAATTTCCAGTAATTTGTTTACAAAACCAATCAATCAGTAACACATGAAGCCCACATATTTTTCTAGATTTTATAGTTGACTGACTTGCGCTTTTTCAATATCCCCTCATTAGTAAAATGACCCTGCATGGACAGAGAAAAAGAATGAAGTCAACCGCTCCACAAAAATGTAGTGTCAAGATGTTTTGTCAAGGAACGTAAGTTATGATGACCAGTTGAGTTAACCAGCTGCAAATTAAATTCCATAAGAGTTTCAAAAGATTTTCTTTTTCATCTTTTCATTGTTTTTCATTATTTGATCATCAGGCAATTATATAAACTTTTATTTGTGTTTACTTAAAACACAGCCCATGAAGTATCTCTTTAAGTCTATGCTAGAAGCAGAGTGTTACACATATGGTTTTTGTGCACTGATTACATTCAATAAAAAAAAGTTTAATTGAACACTTACCAGTTTGTTTAACAGATAATTCTAGCTAGTATGTTTCTTAATATAATATCTACATTAAACATAAAAATAAACAAAAGACAACTCTTAAGAAGAGAACTTCCTGTATGCTTTATAGTATTTAGCATCTTTAACATAGAAGTGTTTTTTCAATATATTACTCTTCAAGAAGAAAAAGGTAACTTTTTTGGGCCTTAATAAAAACTAAAATTGGCATTTATGTTATAAAAATAGTCACACTTTTTGTTATTGTTTTTTACTCTATATAGCATCTCAAATAACCAATATAAACAGTAAAAAAAAAAACCCTAATTTTCATTATTGCTTTTATGTACTTAGTTCAATTTAGACCATATTTTAAATGACTTAAAAATATGAAAGATAAAGATTATTTGTTTGAAAAGGTGACTGTAACAGAAGACTGGTATAATAGAAAAGGGACAACTGAAAGAGATTAACAGAAAATTAAAAATAGAAAGTTAATGTTTTCATATTTTTCTATTTTTAGTAAAAAGTGATGAGTAAATGTCATTCTGAAGAAAAGCAATAGGAAATACAGACACACATGCAACCTTTGATTATTGACTTAAAGAGATGTAAATAAACAAAACTATTATTAAGACCACAAGTCTCCTATGCATAAAATGGATGTTGAACAAACCATGGTTTGCTTAGAATTAAAAATGATTATTTAGAAAACAATAAAAATAAAATTTGCTTGAAAAAAGATGCCTTAAGTTATAAAACGTTACCCATAAACTAAAAATGACATATAAATTATTTAAATAAAGGAAGAAATATACTGAAAAAGATAATTGGTTTTCTTTCTCCTTAAAACCTTTGAAAGTTTAACTATTAGACTTACATGCAGCTTATGGTATTGTGACTGATGGCAAGTTTGCAAAATGATGGTATATATGCAGGGAACCCAGCCCTTATCTTCTCAAAGGAAAGATTTCAACTGAGAGACCTAGGTAAGTTTTAAAGCAGAGGCAAAGGTTTATTAAAAGAAGTAAAGTACACATGGACAGGGTCAAGTGGGTGACTGGAGACATCTAGTGCCCAGCTCAATTCTTGGCTTGAGTTTTTTTTTGTTTTGTTTTGTTTTTTAAGAGTCTCGTTCTGTCTCTCCGGCTGGAGTGCAGTGCAGTGGATTGTGGATCATGAAGAGGAGTGCAAGATCACAACTCACTGCAGCCTCAACCTCCCGGGCTCAGATGATTCTCTGACCTGTCTCCATAGTAGTTGGGACAACAGGCACATGCCACCACACCTGGATAATTTTTTTTTTTGTCTAGACAAAGTTTTGTTATGTTGCCTAGGCTGGTCTCGAACTCCTGGGCTCAAGTGATCCGCTTAACTCAGCCTCCCAAAGCATTAGCACTACAAGTATTAGCCACCATGCCGAGCTTGGGATTTTTATACATTGGCTTGGTTCCCAGGGTTTTTATTTTCTTCCCTTGATTCCCCTCCCCCTCCCCCAGGAGAGAGCTGTTGCTCAATTGCCGCATGGACAGTGGCCTGCCAGCACTTTGGAGGAGCCAGATAAACTGTGTGTTTATTGAAGTTGTGGACATGCTCACTTGGGGTGATTTTCCTTTCCTGGTCTAGAGCCCCCAGAGAAAGATCACATACCAGTCTAACTCTGCCATTTTGCCCCCTACTGGACATGCTTAAAACCTTTTCAGGGAATTGAGGTTTGCTGACTCCAGTTGTTTTCTGTTTGTTGGGAAACTCCTCTTCCTCTTTGCACCAGTTGTGGCCACTTATCATTTCAGAAGGACAGTTTTATAATCATCTGGCCACCACTTGATAAGCGCCTGCCATTTCTGGGGCCCTCTCTTGTCCTGCTCATATCTGTCTAACTAGCTACTCTAACATTTCCCCACTCAAATGTCCAAGATCCAATTCTTAGGGATAATAGGTGAAGGTCAGATTTGTGTAACTGCTGCTGGCAGAGGAGCAGTGGTGGCCCTGTGGGTATCAGCCTCTTGCTAGCTGTCAGGGCAGGGTGGCTTCACAGGTTGGCAGAAGGAGTGCCCAGTCAGGTCCAAGGAAATCAAAGATAGAGTTTTGTCTCTGTCAAGTTCCACCGATGGGCAGTCCAGAGGTCCCCTATAGAAGAGTGACACTGGAATATTGAGAGGACAGTATCCTTCACTGAGGGTCATGGGGAGCTTGACAACCTGAATGTCAGAGGAGGCAAATTGGGTTATTAGATTCAGAAGACATGGACGAAAAGGAGCAAAATTAGGAGACTAACAAGTGGACTCAGAACGAAAAGAGTCCAGGAGAATCATTTTGGGTTCCTTCCCAACCTAATCAACCCTGAGAGCTTGTTCTAGTAAATGGGGGACGAGGCTTGAACTATAGTTGCCTGATGCTATCTTATACTTTTTTATTGATTGATTTATCCAAAAGTAACTTTTTTCTGGGGCCAAATATATCCCTTCCTGTGTTGTCATTAGCATAAATAGTCCTCAGCGATTGTACAGAACTATGGCTGCTAAAGAGTTGCTTTGTTCTTCTGTGGCTGTCAAGGTTTTAGCCATGGCATCAATGCTGTTGGCTGTTTCTAATGAGAGTTGGCTATAGGTTAAGGAGGTTTGTGTGAGTCCAGTGATTTCTGCTCCCATACTGGCTGTGATGCCAAGTCCCACAAGAAGGAGAATTAATTGGATAGCCCTCTTCACCCTGGGCAAGATGGAATACCTATAGATTGCTACCAGAAGGGAGAAATTGCCAGGGGCTATGAAGATGTCCATGGATACATAGTGTGTGGTACAAGTTCTAGTTCAGCCTGCGGGGAGGCACTAATATAGAAGGCTCCCTGGGTTTTAAGATAAATAGAGGTGTCAAAATGAAATAAGGGAGCAAAACCAGGTTTAGAAAATCCTGAGGCTGCCAACTTGTCCAGGTAGCTGGTAAATATAATTATGCCAAACAAAATTTGGGTGCATGGGGTATGGCCCTGGTTAGATCCCTTGGTTCAATTCTTCCAATAAAGAGAATTTTGACTTTGGTTCAATAGAGACTATTCTTTCATAGAGCAGAAATTGGCTATTTGCAGACATTGGATGTAGTTAGAAGGCAAGTTTTAAAGGAGAGGCAAAGGTTTATTTAAAGAAACAAAGTACACTTGGAAGAGGGCCAGGCAGGCAACTTAAGAAATCAAGTGCCCTGCCTCGCCTTGGCTTGAGGTTTTTATTCATTGGCTTGGTTCAGGTTTTTTCTTTTCCTCCCTTGATCCCTTCCTAGGGGCAAGCTGTTGCTCAATTGCTGCCTGCCCTTGGGAGAGGCCACATGTGCAGTGTGTTTGCTGAAGTTGCCTGCATGCTCACTTGGGGTGATTTCCCCTCACTGCTCAAGTGCCCCCTGAAAAAGGTCACATACTGATCAAACTCCACCACCTTGCCTTCTACTGCACATACTTAAGACCTTATTAGAGAATTGTTGTTTGC